TTATGTTGATAGTTGACTTGGGGTAGTAGACAAATTTTATACCTTGGTAGCACCCTCAACCACCACTGCTCTCGTGACAATAAGATAGCATTACAGATTAAGAAGGCCTCCAATGCATTTGTAGCACTCAAGGTCTGTCTGGAGTCAGAAGGGCATAAGAAAACAGGCAAAAATTAAAATATATAATGCCTGCATTATTTCATTTCTGCTATATTCATGTGAGACGTGTAGTCTATCACAGACATCTGGAACATTTTCATCAATCTGTGCTTGAAATCCACTGGATGTCTCACACTCCTGATACTGTTGTTCTACAAAGGGCCAATTCACTCTCTGTGGAAACATTTATACACAAGCACAGATTGCAATGGACGGGCCATGTTGTCCATATGGCTGATGACAAAATTCCAAAACAATGTATGGGGAATTGGAAACAGGGGTGGAAAAAGACTACAGGACAAGCTGAAACTTTGTTACAAAGATTGCCAGAGTCACTATACAAGTGTGATATTGGTTTGGGTAACTGGGAGACTCTAGCTGAAGACCAGGTTTCTTGGAGTGCTGGTATTGCTGATGGTGTCAAGAATTTCCATGAGGCATCACAAAAATACACAGAACTGAAGAGAGGGGTTCATAAGGGGCCCCTCAATTGCCATGAGGTGCCATCCTGGCTATGTGCCCAATGCAATCGGACATGTCTGTCTAGAGTGAGTCTGCTCAGTCAACAGAAATCACACCAACATCATCAGTCTATTGTATATGATGATTTTGTAATGGCATGCTTTGAATGCCCAACCTGCACCAGGGTATGTAAGTCCAGGTTGGGCCTAACAAGGCATATGAAAAGGTACATTGAAAGTGATAATGATTGAAGTCAATTTCTGCATTTGATTTGATATGTCATATATGTGACAAGAAATGCAGATCGATGGCTGGCTTTATGAGCCCCTGCAGTTCACCCAACTGATGAATGCAGTGTTGTGATGAGTTTAACTGAAGGGCTGGACATGTCGGTGATGGTCAAACTTGCACTATATGCACACATAGAAACTGCAGGTATTTTCACATATTAAAATATTATTAAAAATAGTATGTTAATAGTATATGAAGAAATTACTTTTAAATATCAAATTTATCCTGTCTTATAAGTTTATTGGTAAAATTTCCAATCTTCAGGGTGTTCTGGTTTTAAATGATATTTCTAAATTTTTTTTCAATTTGTTTCGCGTTTTTTTAAATTTGCTTTCTTACTACATTTTGTACACATGTATCTAATGTTATTTTACAAGTGCGTGTTCATGAGATTTTGCTTTTGTTTACGTCTTTCAATTTTTCAGATGTAGCATTTTCTTTCTGTTGTAAATTTTAATTTTTCTTTGAAATTATAGAGGTTTATAGAGATGTTATATTATTAATTAAAATGTAATATTTGTTAATTAGTATTAAAGTATAATATTTTATGTTGTATTTGTATTGTTAATATTTTTATTAATTTAAGTTATATTATTATTACAGTAACAAGGGATATGTGTTGGCATCAACCCATTATTTCATTCTTATTTTATCTAATTTGATTATTAAAAGTTAATATTGATAATGTTTCCTCTAAACACAGTCTATGGTTCCTATTGGTAATATTATATCAGGGTACTTTTTTTTATAATTTCTCATTTAACTATTATATTATTTTCTTTTTGACTCCATGTATATTTTGATAATATTGTGCTATGACATCATATGATTATTAAATCTTTCTTTCAAAGTGGTTTCGGTTGCTCCTATGTAAATCTTTTTTTTTGTGTTGCTCATATTTGATATAATTGCTTTATATATTATATTATTAGTTAAACATTTATTAAGTGGACAGTTACTTTTATTTCGACAATTACAATTATTAATATTGCAATTTTGTGCATGTGTGTTATAATAGCTATTGTTTTTATTTAATATTTTTTATTATGTTTATTATTTTCTTATTCATACAACTATAATTGATTTTTATTCTATTTTTGTTAATATTTTTTTTTTTTGATAGTTTACTATTTTAGGTAAGTGTATTTCAATTAATTTAAAGAATATTTTCCTATTTTTGTTCTTATTATATTATAATGAGGGTTGAACCAGATTATTCATGAGTTGTAAATATAACAGTATTTGATGTGGTTAGAGCAAATATATATATTAATAAATATACATATATCTTCATTTTGGTGTCCAAATTAAGTTTTGCTGGTTTTCCAACTCAGCAGGCACAAAGTATGCTTTGTTTTTATAAAAATAGACAGATGTCACATGGGAAGAATGCTGCTTCATAGACCAAAAATAAAATAGTACAAAAGGTGCAGGAAATAAGGTGCAGGTAGGGTTCATTTAAAAAAAAAAAAAAAAAAAATAATAAATAAAGGAAAAAATAGAAATTTCAAATTATTACTGGAAACTCTGCTCTGGGTCTGATATATAACGCTTGCCAGGTTAAAGAAAGATAAGCGGGTATGAAACCTAAAGCTTAATAGAAGAAAAAATATAATAAAAAAAGAGGAATTTAATCTGGCTTGCAGTATTTTAAGAGATGATTTTCTGTGCCTACAGGTGATCATGAGTTTGTTCTTCTTATTAATGAGACTTACATTGTTAATATTTTTGAGGATGATTTTTTTTTTTTCTAATAGACAGAGGTTGCATTGCCCCTCCCCCTTTGCTGGAAAATGGTTTGATTTGGGCTATGAATTCCCAATTTACATGAGGTGTATAGGCATCTGTTTTGATACTCTAGTAAAATTTAGAGTGCTGTGGTGTTTGCATATTTTTTGGAAAACCAGCCAAACTTAAGTCACTCACCAAAACATAGGTGTGTGTGTGTGTATATATATATATATATATATATATATATATATATAATGTAATATAATAAATAATGTAAAAATAAAATATCTATAAGAACACCGGATTTTATATCTTACTGTTCTTTCTTTTTATTTATATACATATAATGTAATATATATACACACACCCTATAGTGTAAGAAAAAACAGCTATTTAATATATTAAAAAAAATATAAATTTATTGCACAACTGAATTTCATGCCATTTGCAATTTTTGGCAGATATTTTGGGGTGGATTATTATTGTTGTTAAGTGTTTAAATGAATTTTAGTTTAATTTTGGATTTGAATTTAGACCCAACTTTCTACTCAAGCATGTTGACCCAGATTAATATAGTCAAATCCAAAATTAAACTATAATTGATTTAAACACTTAACAATAATAATCCACCCTAACAATAAAATATCTTGTGATAACCAAAAGTATTCAACAAACGGTGTAAACTAAAAAAATTCCACCTGAAGATTGCAAATGGTGTGAAACTTAGTTGTGCAATCAATGTAGGGTATTATGTATATTTTATATATACATATATATACACAGTGGTTTTACAAATATTTGTACACATAAAAAATTTTTAATTTATTGTTTTTCCAATTAACGAATAAACATACTTTTTATATAATTAACTGTACGCAGATGCATAACTAAATATGCATAGAAAACGGAAAAAAAAATTTATTTAATAGAAATAAATCTCATTTATTCATTTTAATGGGTGAAAAAAAGTATTCATACAATGCAAATTTCAAATTTGAAAACATTTAAATTGCTTTAATACTATAGATTATTCAAGTAGAATATTTTAGAATCTTCCAATAATGTCATCAATAGTTATTTTTAGCCTAAAAAATATATATAGAACATTCTGAAATTGATATTTATGCAAGATCCATCATGGCAAAAGAATTGACAAATTTGCAAAAAGAACTAATTGTTAGGCTCTGGAAAGAAAGTAAAAGTTACAAGAAAAACTGACAATCTGAATATTCATTTATAAAAAACCTCAGAACTGTTGAAAACTAAAGATGAAATTAATGTGTCAAATTGAACAAAATCCTATGGTTACTCATCAAGGTTGTAAGATTATTTGCTTTCATCAAGAATCTGTCAATAAATGGACAATAAGCTATGAAATTCATAGGAACAATCTAAAGTCATGTTCCCCTCAGAAAACTCCACTGCTATTGAAAAGACAGAGATGCCAGGTTGAAATTTGTTTGTGAACATAAAGATAAGGAAAAGTTGCATTGGGAAAGAGTATTATGGACAGCTGAAACAAAAATTGAGTTGTTTGGACATAATTCTAGAAATCGTGTATAGAGGAAGGATGGCAATATCTTCAAACAAAAGAACGCAGTTCTAACAGTGAAATTTGGTGGTGGCAGCATCATGATTTGGGGATGTTTTTCTGCAAAAGGTACTGGCAGCATTTCAGTAATTGATTGTAGGATAAATGCTGCATCATATCAAAATATTTTGGAAGCAAATTTAATGATTTCAGTTGAAAATCTTCCTTCTGATTGGATCTTCCAACAAGATAATAATCTGAAGTGCACTACAAAATTTATGAAGAAGTGGCTTGTTGAAAATAAAGTAAATTTCCTGAAATAGCCAAGTCAGTCCCTAGGTTTAAACCCAATCAAGTATCTGTGGTGCTATTTGAAAATCCAAATCCAATTGAGAGCTCTAACAAACATCCTGGATCTGAAGACCATATATGAAGAAGAATGAAACAAAATACCAATTAAAATTTGCAGATCATTGAGAACTACAAGAAGTTGGTTGCTGTAGAAGTGTATAATGGCTATTCTACAAAGTATTAAATGAAGATTATGTATTCTTTTTTGTATTGTATGAATACTTTTTTCACCCATTAAAATAGATAAATGGGATTTATTTCTATTAAATCAATTTTTTTTTTTCTGTTTTCTGTGCATATTTAGTTATTATGCACCTGTGTATAGTTAATTATATGAAAAATATGTTTATTCATTAGTTGGAAATACAATGAAGTATAAATTTGTATATGTACGAACATTTGTTTCCCTGACACACTATACACACACATGCGCACATATATATATATGTAAATCTCCCCTTTTGAATTTTGACAGTGATGGAATTAGGCTTATACAGATGAAAAAAAAGAAGAAAAAGAAGAAAAGTAAGTCTTTGATTTATGTAATCTAACTACTCTTTTGTTAAATGAAGTTTTGTTTTATTATTCATTTTTTATTTATTAATATAATTTCAGATATATTTGAACTTGTGTTACTATTTACCTTAAATATTGTAAATATATTTCCTGTCATTTTGATATATTTTTTAGACTGAGAGTTTAGATTATTGAAATCTTTTTGCCTCATGAATTGTACAATTTATTAGACAAAAAGGTTTGGAGGTTAACCTTGAGTGTATATATAAAAAAATAAAAAATACAAAATTGCAGCAGGTGTTGTACATGTACATTTTAATGGATTGATGTGATCAGTATATATTTGCCACCATTTCTTTTCTCTACCATTTTCTGATTTTCATTGCAAAGAAGAAAAAGGAACCCTTTTCCAATAAGTCCAAACATCTTTTGTAATCTATTGTAGATAGAATTTGTGATAAAAATGTTTGCTTACCAGAATATTTTGTACACATTGTTGCTTACTATATAGATGACTCGAATATATTTCATTTTTACCTAGTCTGTTTACTGTAATGATACAGTCAAAAAAGAATAAACTCAGTTTAAATTTTAAGTAAAATTAATTTGAAATTTTTTTAATAGCCAAGTTTCCTAAAAACTATGATCCAAATGTTACACCTGACCCTGAACGATGGTTACCTCGAAGAGAAAGATCTTACTACAGAGGAAAGCGTAAGGACAAAAATAAAAATATTGGTAAGTCACTTTGAACTCTACACTATATTAACATTTTGTTAGATAACTTGTTATATAATATATTATTATACATAGATATTACTATACTTAAGTTTGTGTTTGGACATTATGACCAAATCGAGTCCAAAGGAATCTGTCCCCCCCCCACTCATGAATGACTTCAAGTAATATCAACTACTTGAGGTTGATCTCGGAAATCATTTAAGAACATAGTATTTAATTCCTATACAAATAGAATGTGATATTGAGATTGCCATAAGGTTTAATTTAACCTCCATGGATAACAAAGGTTATTGAAAGTAGTATTAGTTTGTGGTCTTTTATGATATGTATTGCAGCTAATGTGGTGGTCAGGGGCGGATAAATTAAGTATAAAAGGACAATAGGATAAGTGGGGTTGATCTCCGATGTCACCAGATATTAACTGTGGATAAAAATGACTTTTCAAACAAAAGAACTAAAAAGGAAATTGAAAAAAAATATTTTTTCTGTTTTGTTTTGTAAATGTTTTCAAACAAATTTTCAGAATTGAACTTTACATTTTTCAAGTGTTTTAAATAAGAGCCCAAAACTACAAAAAAAAATGGATCTTTCAGTAAGGAATTCTTTCTGCAAAGAATGATACAATTGAAGGAATAAATGCAAAAATATTGCAACTAATTCCAGGGAAGTTTCATATAGGCTTTAATTAAAAGTTGTGATGTTTCTCATGCTTCTCAGAAATCTGACTTCTCTAATGTTGTGCAGTGAAACTCACTGCCTGTCAAGTAGCTTCTTCCATACATCATCAAGTCAACTATCTTAATCAAAATGAAGGATGCTTTCATTTTCAGAATTATCATAATTCATCAGACGTACCCTTTGACTTGAAGTAATTTCAATTCCCAGTGAGCCTGAGTTTTGTCCAAGGCACCGTGACATTCTCTCAGTATAATCTCATCTTACTTTTTTGTTTTTAGCAACAAAGTATGATAAATATATTTTCATTTTTGATCATTTTGACTACATTTCTAGGCATACCATAATACTCTTTGCAAAGTTATTCATAAAAAAAAAAAATAAGCAACAAGCAGATTTTCAGGGCAAAATAGGCTGTGCATAGATTAATGCTTTTATATATATATATATATATATATATATATATATATATATATTCTCTCTTAATAATATTCACCTTACAAACATCAGTGCTTATGTATAAGGAAGCAACAAATAATTGGGTTTCAGAAATTTATAGCCTACTGACTTGTGGATGAGTGATAATATCCCTTCATTTATGGAGATCTCCAACTGAAATGATAGCCACCTCATTTGTTGCAGGAGCATTACAATAATGTGAATGCTCTTTAGGGGATCTCTTGTCAGCTTGAATGATCACTCTAAAATCTGTTTGGTATTGAGATTGCTCCAGTGCAGTTTTCAGTCTTTACATCAAACTGTTATTGGCACAAAGCATATCTTGAAATGCATGTAGAACATTCCTATCCAAAACTTAATCAATCTGGTATCATCTGTTACATTCTTTAAACCAACAAATAAACAATCTAAATTTGTAGATGATCTGAAAGAGCCAATGAGATGGTAAACTTGTCTTTGAACCTTGAAAGTAAGCATGAATCCAGATTTAACCACTACCTTAGATGTACCAAATGGTTCTATTTGAAAAGAAGAATTATACTGATTAATATGTTTTTTTTTTTTTTTTTTTTTTTTTTTGATTGGTGAATTAATCTGCAGTTACTTACCCACTTGTAGAAAAAGTTTTAGAAGTAGCAGTCTTGCATTTCTACCAGAGCAACACATCCTTGGAGTTTCTGATGTGAAATTCTTTGCTTCACAAAATGTGTATATATGAGTTAAATCTTCAATTGAACTACCTTGTCTCTGTTGAACCTATTGGGAAGCTGCCCTAGGATCTATGTTTAGGGGAGTACTGGCAATTGATCGATTTGTGTGGATAAACACTCTTCTTGAGATTAATTTTCTTGAGCTGCAGCAAATCTTTGCTGGTCTTGAGCAAGTTTTTTTTGTAGGGGACTCTTCACACTTGAGTTGTGACACTGTGAGAACAGTTAACATGTATTAAAAAGGATTTCACATGAAGTACAGTTTTCAAAATAAACTGATTACACAAAACAAATATTCAAATAATTATAGCATATTAATAGGGTCCAACAGAGAGAAGAAAAGAAATTACTGGTGATGCAATCATTTAGGGGTAGAATTTGGAGTAGAATCCCTCACACAAATGATTGACTTCCCACATGTTTCCCCAATAACCAGGACAGTAAGTCTTCCCTTCTCTATCACTGTTTTACCTACATCCACGAGTTTTGTCATTCCATGCAGCTCTGCTTTCTTGGCAACTCTGATCATGCTATAGTGTCCGTCAACATCTCCTCCTACTCCACCCTCCAGCAAAGAACCTCCTGTCAACGGAACATCTTTCTGCTATCAATGAGCAGGCTGGGACTCATTCTGTGATTTCCTTTGTGATATCCCTTGGAATGTGGTCATTAATCTCCCCATTTAAAAATGTACTTCTGAGGTCGCCTGGGTAAAAGCTGGAATTGAGGCTTTCATCCCTGCTAGGAAATATAAGGTTAAATCATGCTCATCTCCTTAGTGACATGTCAGATTGCAACACACATCTTTTTGTCTCAGCCTGTAATGAGTGCAAGTGTGTCCTCAATGAAACAGTCACTATTTGCTGAAAAAATGAAACAACGTATTGCATCTTGCAAATTTGGTTCAAAAGATTATCGGCGTCTCTGCAAGAGCATACTAAACAACAGCAAACCCACAATACCTCCTTTATTCGACCAATTTGAGGTCCTGACTTCCTCGGCTGATAAGTCTGAGTGCTTTGCTCAGAAATTCTCATCCAATTCTATGCTCAACTCATCTGGTGTACCCACACCCGATTTCTCCCCAAGAACTGAGGCTCTATTAAGAGTAGCGCATAAACCCATTGATGGTATTGGGCATCGTCTCTAAATTAGATTCCCATAAGACTAGCGACGTGGACGGGATATCAGCTGTTGTACTGAAGAAATGTGTTCCTGAACTGGCTCCTGTCCTCTCCAAACTATACAACTACTGCCTTCAATGACTCTTGCTTTCCAGCCTGTTGGAAGTCCTCATCTGTTGTACCTATCTTTAAGAACTCTGGAGACCTTTCTGACTCGTCTAACTACTGTCCTATCAGTCTCGTACCACTCTTTGATAAAGTCTTTGAAGCTTTAATCAACGCCAAAGTGGTTAAGCACCTTACATCCCATGATCTGCTCTCTGACAAGCAACATAGTTCTTCCTTGCCTGATCTAATGCTGATGTGCTCATGGCCATAACTGAATTTGTTTACTAAGCACTTCACAATAATGGAGAAGCTTGAGCTGTGGCTCTAGATATCTCTAAAGCATTTGATAGGGTTTGGCATGTCAGCCTTCTTAAGCTCCAGGGATACAGAATTTCAGGATGATTATTTGACAATACAACCATTCCTGTCAAACCGTGTAATGAAACTCATCCTTAATGGATTCTCCTCCGGTTCCTTTCTCACGAATGCAGGTGTTCCCCAAGGCTCTATCCTGGGCCCTACACTGTCCCTGATCTTCATTAACGATCTTCCCAATGTCATCAGTTCCCAAGTAGGCATCTACGCAGACAACACTACTATTTACTCCTGCGTCATTAGCAAATCCAGTATCGCTGACAAAACTAACCTGGCTGTTGGTCTTGAAAAGGACCTCCAATCTGTTGACTGGGGCAAGAAATGGCTAGGTAACTTTAATACCTCAAAAACAAAACTGCTCTCATTTACCCACCACAGAGAACCCTCCCTGCTTCTCATTACAATGTCTGATGCTCAACTCCACAAGAGCACTTTGTGCAACTGCTTGGTCTCACACTGTCTGCTGACCTGAGATGGAACAAATATATTGAATCAATAGCTTCATCTACTGCAAGGAAAGTTGGTTCTCTGTGTTGCGCCAGAAAATTTTTCTCACCCAAGTCCATCCTTCAAATCTATAAATCAACCATTCGCCTTTGCATGGAATACTGCTGCCATATATGGTCTGGAGCTATTAGTCTTAAGGTCCTTGACAAAATCCAGAGGTGGATATACAATGTGATTGGCCCTGATCTGGCATCTCATTTACAGTTGCTCTCTCACAGACGTGCTGTCGCTTCCCTCTGTCTTTTCTACAAATACTTTCACGGTAGCTGCTCCGATGAGCTACTTTCACTAGTTCCCAAACTGCATGAATTTAAATGTGTAACTAGGTTGGCATTTTGGTTCACCCTTTCACTGTCAAAACGGTTAAATGTAACCATCTCTTCTACTCCAATAACTTCATGTCTTGCACTTCCCTTCCTCTTAATTGCTTCCCTGATAGCTATAATCTTCAGCTATTCAAATACAATGTCACTCGACATCAGATGCCTTGATCTATTTCCCGTCCTTCTCTTCATCCTTTCCTCTGTCACACCTGTTTACTCATGCTCCCGCTCTCTGTAACTCCTTGCATGCTAGTGGCACTCTCGCCTTGCTTGGGGTGAAAAAATGCTTTAAAAAAAGAAAAGGAAAATGGGATTCGTGTGACTTAAGGTTGTCATGTATTCTGATGTTTCCAGTACTTTGTAATGACTAAACAGGAAGAAGTAAAAACTGTGGCTAACCCTAAATATACTAAAAGTGAGTAACTAAGGGGAAATAAAACAATTAAAATACTGTACTGTTGTAATAGAACATCAGCTTTTTTTTTTTATGGGTTTTTTAACCTTATTTTTGATTTTTCATAACTTTCAGGGTTTCTAGATCCACTTTAAATATCCTGTTTTCATGCCAAGGTTGATTGAAATCCATCCAGTAGTTTCTGAGTTCATAATGGACAAACACTGACACTTCATTTTATTATATTAAATGATCATAGTATGAATTTAAAATGTGCAAAAACATGTTAACTAAAAGATTAAATGATATAGTGGTGCTCATCGATAGGATGCATAAAATCAAAAGATGAAACACTAATATTAGAGAAAGAAAAAAATATTCCAAAGATGGAATGAATAGATTGGAGAAAGAGGAAAATCTGCAATGTTCGAAAATATGATTTTTTGAAATCAGCACTGGCCAAATTGAACAAGAACAAAGCGGCAGGACTAGATATGATTGTAATTAATTGATTTTGTTTTTTATTACTTATCAACATTTTGTAGATTATATAAAGCTGGAAAATATTTTTTTTAGTTTGTAAGAATTTTTTGACATAATAATAATTTCAAGTTCTACCAATTAACCCATAACTGGAGGGATTCATACCTTTTACCAAGGGTATTTGAATATATTGGAATTGGAACTTGGCTCTTCAGTTTCCAATTCTGAGCCATTAACCATTACAGCAACGAAACATCCGGGTTTACAACATCTGGTATTCCCAAGTGGTCACCCATATAGTTATTGACCAAGTTTGACATTGCTTAACTTTAGTGATTGTATGTTTTAATGTGATATGGCTGTTAGTCTAGGATGGTAATAGAGACTCTGATATCCTGAGATGGTTTTTACATTAACAAAATTACAGAAATAATAAATGAAATATACAACAGTGGTGATATATCAGAAACACTGTAGATCCATTTTCATAGCACTGCCTAAGAAACCAGGTACAAATGAATATGAACTCAATCAGCCTAATGAGCCACATAATGAAACTTATCCAAATTCTAATGATTCCAGTGCATAACAGAATTAAACTGGAAATAGAACAAATAAAATGTAGTATCATTAAAAATATTGGAACAAGGAAAGCAATATTTCTGCTTAGAATGATATCAGAAAGAGCAATACAAATGCAGAAGGATGTATACCTATATTTCATAGATTATACAAAAGGGTTTTGGTAAAATGTGACAAAGAACTGTTAGCACTGCTAGGTTAGCTTGATTTATTTGGGAAAGGTATTAGAATAATCTAGAACTTATACTGGGAGCAAACCACTTGCATATGAATAAAGACTGAATTCAGTAAAGACACAAAAATAGAAAGGGCCATAAGGATGTCTTGTGTTTTCTCATGAGACTTATCCATTACATTGAGATGATCTTGAAAGAATTTGGTGACCAGTATCTTAACATAAGATATGCATATGATAAAGTGTTGATAGCAGACACAGAAAGAAAATTACAGGAAGTCCTACAGAAGGTAGTAAAAGAAAGTGAGAAAAAGGGGATAAACATCAATTGTAATAAAATAGAATGTGTATTTGTCAGCCAAAGGAACAGCCCAATGTGTAAACTACATATTAGAGGTGTCTGAATCAAGCAAGTACAAAAATTCAAATATCTGAATTGTGTGTTAACAGAGAATGGAAAATGTGATGCCAAAATCTGAAGGAGCATTGGAATAGGGAAAGAAGTCTTCCAAAAGCTAATTAAATATTAAGAACCATGAAAATTTCATTAGAAACAAAGAAAAGAGTGCTGAAGAGTGCTTTGTCCTCCTATATGGCAGTGAATGCTGAACAGATGAATGCTCACAGATGAAGAGACTTGAGGCAACAGAAATGTGGTTCTACAGAAGGATGCTAAGAATACCATGTACTGAACATGCTAGCAACAAAGGACACTTAGAATCAAAAAGAGACAATTGAAATTTTTGGGGTACATGATGAGGAAAGAGGATTTGGTGAATTTGGCACTCACAGGACATAGTGAAAGCAAGTGGGGATAGAGTAAAGCAACGATTAACTTACCTGACAAGCTTGTGTAAATGACTGGCAGAACAGGAACTAGGAGGGAATGCAAAACAAACTATACAAAAAAAAAAATGGGATATTGTGGACATGAATGGACACTGCACATAGAAGAAAATCTTAACTATATTCCATAGTCAACTTGGAAGTTTTTGATATTTACTGGTAAAGAATTTAATTTCAGAAACACAAATTGTAGATATTACTTTGCCAAATATATTTTTCTTTTTCTAAATGATTTTTGCTGTAATTATTTTTACCTCAGGTAAAGGAACTCAAGGTGCCACTACTCCTTCTGGAGACATGTAAGTTCTTTAACATGTATTTCATCTTTAACTTTATTTATAATTTTTGTATTTATATGTATTTACTATCCTTGTTGCCTCATTTTGACCTGTTCATTTCTGTTTATGATGTAATCCTATAGTGAAGTACTGGTTTGTTATTCCAATCATTGAAGACACAAATTTTTATATCCACTCTGATCCAAAAACCATTTCATATAGTCACAATGTAACATATAGATCATACATGTCATTCTGTGTTAACTTCAGAGTACAGAATTCTTGATCACCATATCAGATGTAGCACAATGATTGAGTTTCAGACAGATATCTAAGTCACTAACAGCCTGTCATTGTCCACCAGAGTTGCACATCCTAGTAAGCTTTAATAGTACCACATTTTGTCTTCAGGGTTGGCAGGTAACCTGAAGTGACGGAGATAATCAGAATGGATTTTAACCTTTACCACACTGCAGGTGACAATTGTCACTGTAGAAGTCTCTCCCTTTGTTACTCTAGTCGCATTTTGTTGACTTGAGACAGCTGCTATAAATAAATGCTTGTCAACTGTTATTTCTGGTACTTTAAGCTGGAAATTGTCTACTGCTTTGGAAAGTTAAACTTCCGTTTTCCAATGCCATTTTTTTTTTTTTTTGTAAACAAAGATGGCCATGTCAATATCCAACAAAGTCTTTATTCAGGAGTTTTTCTTTGATTATGACTCCAATGATGATTTTGAAGGCTTTACTCAAGTGGGTACTGTCTGTGAAGTAGCTGAACATGATAACCATGCTAGTGATGTGGAGGAAAGTGATGATGACCACTAGAAGTTACTATCATCCATGCCTGACTGATTTTATGGAAGCTACTGGTGACCATCAATATACCTGATACCCTTTCTGGAAGTGAATTATTTTGTCTATTTATAAACAATGAAATAATAAATTTATTTGTTAATGAGACAAATATGAGTCGGGTAAAAGAGCAAACAAATGCTAGTGTTTTCTTGTTTTCACTAAGAAACGCGTCACTTTTTTTGACAAAAGGAAAGCCATCTTAGTGATTTTGTTTCTTATTGCACCCCCAGAACTCCACAAGTAGTAATAAAAGTTAAAGTATATTGAATTGTTTATGTATTTTTTAATGTATTTGTTTTTTATTTTGTTTCAATTTTTTTTTGTTTTCAACTTCAAAACCTGCATGCAAAAAGTAATGCATTACATAAATTACTCATTCATTTTATTAGTGTACAAGAATTAAAATTTATATGCAAAATACAAAGAAAGTTATAACAATTTTAAAACAGTAAATGTTCATGTTTTTGCCCCCTCAATAAAAATACAGTGGCAGCAGGAACAGTTCTAGAAAGAAATTAGCATGGTAACGGTTAAGTAAATGTGCAGGGGTCACTATGCTCAGTGAAAAATGACGTGTCAAGCTGAATTGGACCCTCAGCTGGCTTTCCACCAACTGGTGAATGTTTTCTTTCTATTCTCATTCACATCAGTGTGCACTGAAAACTAGGAACAGCACACTACACATTGACAAAGTAACAAAAGATGAACACAGATGCTATGGTGGGGTATTAGTCAAATCCTCTTTTCAATATATTTAGGTGTGTTTTATTCAGGGCTCTTCTTGGTGGTAGCACCTGTTAAGGACCCAGCAATGGGCAAATAGTGACACCACCACCACAAACAAAACACTATGAAAGTATAAAAATATGTTTTCATAGTAAAAATACCAGCAATGCAAAATGACCAATAATATATTTTACCTTTAGTTTGAAGTCATAAAATTGTATACAAGATACTTAGATGTTGGCATTATGTAACCCATAGAGGTTGATATGCTGCTAAACAAAATCAATCAACCAAAATTTGATAACTCTATGACAAAAAAGTGTATTCATATTATAGAGAAAATATACTTTTACATGTTTTTTGCCCTATTCTGAAATTGCACTTCTGGCTGTTTTTATATGATGTAATTATGATTTTTATTTTTTTATTACTACTAAAAAAATTTACCTTCATCTCTTGTGCTATGAATGATTGTAATAAGTTGCAAGGCATTAACTGTTGAAATGCAACTTATATGAGCAGTCAGAATTGTACTTCTATGTCATTTTTAACTATTTCTTTTGTGAGAATACAATTTTTCCAATGTTTAAGCTGATCTGATTTAATAATTATTGATTCTATTAGCATTACCTTTCTTTTACTTCAAGACTACCTATATGACATTACATTTACAATGGTTTTTCATTTGTTCAATGGCTCATGACAAAATTTTGGATGTTCATAACTTGGTAGCTAATTGAGCTACCAAGATAAATTCAGTACCATAGTTTATGCTTTAAAGCTATCTATATGTGTATTAAGTTATGTAATTAGATATATCAAAAATAAAATTTTAGTTTGGTATATTTACTCTTATATACAAAGTTAAGGTATCCAGTAAGCTTTACAGTGAGAAATATAGCATTTGTTATATAAAATTAACAAAATCTGAATATCAGAGAAAATGGTAAATAAGTTGGAAAAATGCTTTATCTGAAAGATGACATAGATTACCAGTATTTGTACCTTGTCTAACTATATAATACTGTGATGCAAATAGTAGAGGGAGGTTTGTATACCATCAAATATTTTAATGAGTTTAAACAATTCCACTTGCCCTATCTCTTTTATATCTTTTAAGAGTGCTTAATCTCTCATGGCGAAACTGCCCAACTCTAGAAATGATATATGGAGATTTAAGAGAGTATCAACCTTAGTTTGCAAAATGAATGTCCAGTTCGCTGGGCATTGTGCACGTGCACAGATGAACTTGTCATCATTTGTACTCTGGAGGCACCCATCATCTGACAATCGATCAAGTTAACCTTTCCAGATAGGATAAAAAGACACATTGATCCCTAAGGAAGATCTTTTAGGAGCTATGACAGATAGGGAATACTGGAGAAGTGTAGTGAGTTCAATCTCGGCTGCAGGAGGATGATGATTGATGATGATCTCTGTATTTTTTGTTTTAGCAAACAACCTTTAAGTGAACAACCTCCCACTCCAAATAAATGATAATCCTTCTCAGATGAACTTTAGATTTTTTTTTTTTTTTTTTTTTTTCATTCTTTTATGAAAAGAATGTGTTTTACAATCTAATTTTCTATTCTGCATAATACTTAGACAAAACATTAAGTCAACTTCCCACACTTCTGAAAACCTTCATAGGGGTATGTAAGACTCAATTTTACTAGCTAAATTAGTAATATTCATGTTTGAATTCAGGCTACACATCATGCTAATTATTTGAACCTATTCTTTTATTCATCCAATATTGTGTATCAAGTATATATTGTTACATTTTTTTTTTTAAAAATTTGATAAACAAAATTTATTGCCTACTCTTTATTATCAAGATTATTTTTTTTTTATTAACATACATTGCCTCTATTGATGAAGTAATTAACAAAGATACTTAAAATAGTTTTTATATTAATATTTGATCAAAAATCATGTTCCTCTTTTTCAGTGATGCCAGCAAGCAATGTACACCAGGCAGCGGAGCTAGTTCTCCTCGACCAGCTGCCAATCCAACCAAGCCTTCTCCACAGCCTTTAAACCGACAACAGTCGCAAGCATCTGGAGGAGGACGTAATAATAACAATAATAATAAGAAAAAGAAAAAGAGCAAGCGGTAAATTTTGTATATTGTCAATAATAAAAAAAGATAAGATCTTAATCAGGCTTAAACACAAAGTTATTTTATCTTTTGGTATGTTAATTCTTCACATTTAATAAGAAAATTTAAAAGAAAATTTTTTTTTTTTTTTGTTTTATTTAAAAGTAAAATATTTCAAAGTAATAAAATATCTATGAAATTAAAAATAAAAAATGATTCCACTTTCTACAATATGCTCTGCTTTCAGATAAAGGATTTTTCCAACTTATTTACCATTTTCTCTGATATACAATTTTTGTTAATTTTGTATAGGGAATGCTACATTTCTCACGTTAAAACTATTTCTTAAAACTGTTGAAAGTGTCTAAAACAGACTAACAATTTGTAATCTTTAAATGAATTTATAAAACTTACAAAACTTGTGAATTCATTTAAATTTCTTGCTCAACGAGAAAAGAGGAAACAATTTCTTCAAATTCAGAAATAAAATTGCAATAGTAGTTGGTGTTCAAGATTTGAAATGTTGGCAAGCAGATCTTCCTTTGGAGGATTGGAAAAATATGGTCTGTATTGACTTCCTATCTCATTCATCTTTTTGTTTTGTGCCAGACTAAGTTCTGTCAATAGAATTTTAATCATATAAGTCAGTTCCAAAAAGATTACTAGGAAAGCATTTTTAGTTAGGCAAGTCATAATTTTTTGAAATGAATCTGTGTTCCAAATACAGATCAAACAAGAAAATAATATTCTTTTTTGTTTTACTTTTGTTTTCTTTGTAACCCCATTTTTTTATTTTTTGTGGAAGTGTGTGCAAGAAACACTTCATGTCTTTGCCACTTTAAAATGTTCTCTGAACAGTGAAAAAGTCCAGCTGAGTTAATTATTTTGTATTCCTTCAATATGTCTTGATTTTTACATTCATCTTTAATTTATAGTTTTCTTTTAATAACCTTAATAAATTCAAAATATAGTCATGGCATTAAAAGCAGTTAATAAATATATCAATTCAAAAATTCTGAAATATAAAATAGTCTTGTCATAATTTAAACTTCCTGACTGATTCTTAAGGTACTTGTTTTTAACTATAGTAACAAAAATATGCTTTTATTTTACTGTAAGTATTTTAAGAAAAGGAATTATTTATTTTTCCATTTGGACTAGTATTTTCTTATTGGTTGTTACTCAAAACATTTTGGCAGTTGAACCCTCTGGCCTTCAGGCATTTGTTGTACTTAGTAAACTTCTTGGAGTTTTGAACCAAATCCTTCATCCAATCTTCAGGGATAGGTTGTTCTCATTGCACTTTCCATGCTTTGGGAATATTTCATATCAATTAATACTCACCAGTCTTTTCACCTTTGTGTCACTCATTCATTTGTTTCACTGAACCAGTGTATGCCTTTTTCCATATAACTTGATGTATGGATTGAACTTATAACTGCAAAGGAACAAGATATGTTTTAGCCAATGCTTTAATCCACTAGGCCATGTAACTCTGTGACAATCCAATATTCTAGTTGATTAAAGCAGATCTGGTTCCCTGGCAGTTGTAAGTTTAGTCTCTGTATGATAGGGCATAAATATTATACTGTTTCAGTGGAAGAAACAGACAAATGACACAAAAAACAAAATAGACTGGAGAATATTGATATAAGATATTGCCCAAGCATGTAAAAATTAATCTATATGGATTGAATGAAGTGCTCAGTTTAAAATTTCAAGGAATACAACAGATATCTGAAGAAAGCTATACAGTGGTTGAAGCATAATTAGTTTACTGGAACATGATTTAACAATCAAATACTTCCAAATGGATAACCAGCAGTGTGGCTAAAATGTGATAGGCAAATCTAATATCAGCAACTTCAGTTAATTTCATGTTCAGCTTTTTTAAGTATATTGAAGAATGAATCATTAGTATTCCATCAATTCAAATTTTATTTAACTTAAAAATAGTGGCTCCTCATTCAAACACATGTATATTAAAAAAAAAAAAAAAAATACATAAAACTTCTCCATTTTAAGATTTCAACTAATAATCAAACTTTTCTTGTGTTGTTTTGTAATCAGTTATTTTAATTTTGCAAATTTAAGTTTGTAAGAATGAAAAAACACCTTGTTCACTTAAACCATTTTGAAGTAAAATAACTATACTTTGATACTGAACTAATTAAGTTTTTTTTCTTTGAATTAAATTTAAGTATGTACTTTAAAAAACTGTTAAATAGGTCTTAATTTTTCTGAACATTTCTCTTGTTAGATTTCAGATACAGATGAGTTTTTAGAAAGTTGTTAATCAGATGCATTCAATTTTGTAGTGAGAAATTGACATTTTTTGTAATATGAAACAGTCACTTTTCAAGTGTAATATTCACCCTTTTTTTTTTTTTTTTTTTTTTTTTAATGAAAGCAGACAAAACCAAAACTTAAATCCAAATGTTTTAAATTTTTAGTTAAATTGTGAAGGTATAGCCAAATAAAATTGGCTTCAATATTATTTGATCATTTTCTTGTCTCTTTAATGTTCACTCTTATTAATAAAATCTTTGCTATTTAATGGTAATTGTTTATTATTATTTCAAATAAAATGTAAAATGAATATTACTGCTATAAAATGAGGTAAAGCAATTAAGATAGATTTTTTCAGATAAAATTTTTCAGTCACTTCTCATGGTTGGCAGCAAAAACTATTATTGTAATAATTGTGTTTAAGGAAGTTGATGAAAATGCAACATTTATTTTTTTATAATACTTTATGGAAAGGAAAATAACACTGTTTAAAAAGTAATATGCTTGAATATTACAATTTAAAAATGCTTATTAGGATAAAATGTTTGTAAAGAAGTTGTAAAATAGTGTACACCTGAAAAAGTAGACATTGATATAATTTATTAATTATTAATATAATTATTAGTTTCAATTTTATTGAGACTATAAAGATAATTCCAAATAAAATGCAAAATATTATTTTAATCTAATATTCTATGAACAGGATTCCATTTTGAAATTATTGGAAAAATCTTGGTTTTATTTTTAAATGAGGAATTTTCATTATTATATACCTTTACAGTCAAGTTAGGAAACTGATTTTGGCTTTGTTCATTGTAACCAACCTTCCTATAGACTTCCATCATACTTGGTCATTTTCTGGAAATTTTGAACCAAATATTTGTTCTATTAAAGTAGGTTTTTCTCATTTCATGTTTCATGTTTAGGGGATGTTTTATGTCTGTAATTTATTTTCCATCCTATGCAATTGTGGCTTGGAATACAAGGGTGAGACCAGCTGCTCCTGAAAGTAACAAGAGACATTCAAATCATATTGATAATGTGGGGAGTGAAAATCGCTGGTTATCAGCACCTGTGGAATGACAAAGAGATAATGGAGAACAGTAAAGGGTAAGATTACTAAAAGAGTAAGTGCACATATTGGTCTCTGACAACGTTTCACTAGATATTGCATAAAGATGAAAACTATCTCTGTATAAAAATTATATTAATAAAGACCATAATATTAAAATTGTATAAGAAAAAATAATTCAAATATTGGAATTGTGTAAAAAGTAATATAGAAATTATGTTAATGAAAAAGGTTAATAATGAATTCTATTAGAATGTTAGTAACATTTTCTTTTTCAAGGAAACCATGAAGATGAAGCCAAACAAAATATTTTACAGGATATGTCGGGCTTTGAGTTTCAAAAAAACAGTCCAATTTGAATTGGAAATTGTTGCAGTTTTGATTGGATGGTGACTTGACTTTTTAACCAATAAGGATAAAAAGGATGTCCTCTGAGGACATATGAGAGGAAAAGTTTTGAGTGGAAAGTCAGAAAATGAAAGGAGTAGACCATACTTGTTCTGCTGTTGTGAAGGGATTAGGTAACTCTGGTGAAAGGCTGTCCATCTTGGCATGTAAAGTCTGCTGCTGAGAAAAGAAAAAGACCATGTGATGGGCTTACTACCATTAATGCTGTTGATGCTTTTAAACTCACATAATACAAATGATTTTATAAACCTGTGAGAATTT